CCATATCAATATCGTTCACAGTGGGCTCAAAACTATATGGACGTATTGACATATTTAAATATTTGTAATACAATACACTGTTAAAAATAAATAAAAATTGTTATAAAACATATTTTGCTTATGCGAGAACACTTCTTATAAATTATAATAACATAATATAGGTACTTATAACTGTTTCAACTTTATATAAAATATATAATAAGTAATTAACAAATTATTATTATTAATAAATAAAATAAAAATGATTATAATTGATAATGCATTACTTAATTACCTCGTAAAACGAAATTCCAACGATGAAAAATTGAAAAATACGTCCGTTTACGAAGACGTATATACGGAAAATGCGGTTGATCGACGTTCGTCAACATAGAATAAGTCTTATTTTAGATAAAAACATAATTAACCAAATAGAGTATTTGTATACGTCTGATGATTGTTGTGTCTACGAAGTTATTTGAATATAAAATTGAATATTATAACAAATATTATAAATAAATAATCTAGACCGCGTCGGCGATTCCTGTACAAAAGTATACGCCGCCGCCGCACCGTGTGATCTTGTGACGTCACGCGGCTATCTCTCTTTGGCTCTAGCGCCTTAACGAATCGACGTATACAAATTTTAGTACCACCGTTAGTTATAGTAATTAACTAACTATTAATTAAGCCAAAATCATTTTTTTGTTTCATGGTCCTTTAACAAACTTCTTGCAAATTTTTCTGTTTTCATTTAATATTCAAAATTTAATAAAATAGGTACTTATATAAATATTATGTTACTAAATTTTAAGGAAACTTTCACTGATGGACAAAAAGACATGCAATCTTCTTCTTTCACACTTTTGAAAAATTCAAATGTACTACATAAGTTGGCTTTTATGAAACAGCATCCAATTCAGCCTTCATTTTCAAACTCTCATTTACACATTCAAAAACTGTATAAACGAAAAATGCCTGATGGAAAAGAAGTTTCTCGGAATTGGTTGTCGGTTCATGTAGAAAATAATGAATTAAAATCAGTATATTGTCCTATTTGTATAGCATTTAGTAGTCATCAGTCCCCTTTTATAAATGGATATAAAGATTTCAAACACATTCACATAGCTGTTAAAAAACATGAAGAGAGTCGTTCACATAACTTTGCTGTTCAAAATTATATTCAAGCCTCATCTGAACAATGCATTGAGTTTAAGGTCAACAGAAATTTATTAAATTTAAAAAGGATTCAAGTACAAGAAAACATTCATGTAGTTGAACAGATATTTGATATTATAAAATTTCTTGGAAAACAAAGTCTACCTTTTAGGGGTTCTGGATATTCAGAAGGTCTTTATCAGTTAGGTAGAATTGGAAATCACCATTTAAACAATGGAAACTTTTTAGAATTGGTCCAATTTACTGCAAAAAGAGATTCAATTTTACAAAAACACCTAACACTAGCAATAAAAAATAGTGAAAAACGAAAGCTAAGTTTAAAAAACCAATCTAAAGGTAGAGGTTCATTGGTGACATTATTGTCAAAAACAACTATTAATAAAATTATTATTGCTATTCTTCAGTCTATAAGGAATAAAATTAAAAACGAATTGTGTAATCAAAAATTCAGCCTCCAAGTCGACAGCACTCAAGATGTTAGTGTATCTGATCAAGCTGCTATTTATATACGCTATATATACAATGGAGAAATTACTGAAAGACTTTTTGCTGTTTTAAAGATTATTGATTCTTCTGGTAAAGGATATTACGAAATGTTGAAAAATTTGTTTTTAAAACATAATATTAATTTTAAAAATGTTATTGGAGAATCATTTGATGGAGCTTCAAACATGAGGGGAGCATTTAGTGGTCTTCAATCAAGGATAAAACATGAAAATCCAAAAAGTATCTATATTTGGTGTTATAGCCATATCCTAAACTTATGTATTAGTGATGCATGCAAACATATTGATGCTAAAAATCTATTTGGATTTTTAAATAGGTTATCAACCTTTTTTGAGGACTCGTACAAACGTATGAATGTGTGGATCAAACAAAATAATACTATCAATGAAAGAGTCAGCTTGAAAAAACTTCAAAAAGTGGGTGAAAATAATACTAGATGGTGGTCTAGGGAAAAATCTTTATTTTGGGTTTTTGAAGGAAAACAATGTTTATTTTTGACTGTCATTAGTGCATTGAATTTTGTAATGCAGTCTCCAGATTTTGATTCAAAAACTTGTTCTGAGGCATCATCTTTAATTGAAAAACTGTGTAGTTTTAAATTAATACTGACTGCTCATATTTTTATGAAAATTTTTCAAATAATTGGACCAACTTCAAGATATTTGCAGACTAAAAACATGGATCTGTTGACTGCATGGGATATGGTAGAAGTGACTAAATCAGAAATTACTAAATTAAAATTTGAAACTATTTATAAGGAATCCCAAGAATTCATTAAACAAATGAATGAAAAACTGTGTACTTTAAATTTTCCTGATGAAATTAATATCAGCAATACATTTCCAACTTCAAGAATTAGCAAAAAAAAAATCATTTTTCGATGAACAATATTCAGACGAAGTTTTGTCTGTTCCTATTGATAAGTTTAGAGTTGGAACATATGTAGAAATTATAGACCAAATAATAAGTAGTTTAAATCAAAGATTTTCTGCCAACAGACAGTTAATAGCTGATATTCAGTATTTTATTCCAAAAAATTTTGATTTGGTTGTTAGTATGCCAAACATAGCTTTAACATATTTATCTGAAGTGTCAAACATTCCAAAAGATAAACTTCATTCAGAGTTAAAGAGTTTTGTTGCAGTTTTTCCAAAAATATCTACATCAATTAAAGAACGCACTCAGACAATGTATCAAGAGCAATATGTTTCAGAAAATGATGATAATAATGAAGAATCAATTAATGAATTTTCTGATATATTAGAAGACAATACTCTTGAATTAATTGGTATGTTTAATAATAACTTAAAAATATTTTCCTAAATTGTATTAATGAATTATTTATGCTTGTAATACTTGAAATTGTTGTAGGTAATGATTTCTACCAGGAGAAGAAGTGTTCTTTAAGTATCGATCATGATCCGAAAAATTGCTTAAACTGTGTGTACAAAGTATTATATTCATTAAATTTACATGTTTCATCTTATAGTTATCTTTGTGAAGCTTATGAATTTTTTTTAACTTTATCTGTAACACAAGTGAATTGTGAACGGACATTCAGTAAACTTAAAATTACAAAAAATCGTCTTCGTTCTAATTTAAGCTCAGAACATTTAGAAGCATTACTAATTATGTCAATTGAAAAACAGCTGTTAGAAGATGTAGAAGTATCTGATATTATTAATTACCTTAAAAGTACATCAACTTTAATGCTAAATATGTTTACATAAATTTTAATTACATTATGTTTAATAAACTTTTTTCTCCTGTAACATGATTTACTTATATTACTATTATTTCAGAATTTTAGAACTTATTAAACTAAGTAAATAGGTATTATAAAGACAACTGAACATTTTCATTGACGATGTAAAAAAAAATGTTGGGCCGCTCATATTCTTCTCCGCCTGGGCTGAAGTATTCCCAGTCCGCCCCTGTTGATGACTAAAGTCTTACAAATGTTAAGTCTATTGCTGGTGGTATTGGCGAATATTTTTGTTAGCCTGTGTTTTGCTTCGAAGCTCATACACCATAAATTAAAACAAAAGGACCTAATTGTTGAATAGTATTATAATGAAACATAAAATGATATTTGGGTTTCAATTTTTGATGGCTATATTTAATGCATAAATCGTTGTGTTCGGAAACTAGAGTTTGGAGTAGTTCACAACAACCAACATGTAACGATGTAGAAGTTACAATATCTAGACTTTGCCTCAGCAAAATATACAGGCACCATATGGGATCATTGAGAGGTACTAAATGGCCAATCAAGAGACCAAAATAGCGAATTAAAGACATCATTTCTGATGCAGAAAGTCTTATATTTTTTTCTCTTAAATGTTCTATATGCAATACACAAGGTTTACTACTTTTGTCAGGCCCATAATCAAAACACACAATTCTTTCATTTAGTACTTGCAAAGTAAAAATCTACAAATATTCAACATAATAAGAAATTAAGAAAGCCAAATCATATTTACCAACCCCTTCTAATATATCATGCATAATATCCATTCCTACCTGTTCTGACACATTAAATCCCAAAACCTTATGCCAAATCCAAGCTTCTTTAATACCACTACTTGAGACATCTCCTTCATTTACATCTAAATTATATTGTTCTACAGTCCTTATTAAATTATTATCAACAGAAGACTGGTTTTGTATATCTTCTTTCCTCATTTTACAAATTCGGCATGGATAATTTGAAGAGAAGCTTTCTACAAATCCAGTTATACTGTGAACTCCCAAATTATCACCCACAATAATACCCAATTCAAATTGTATTGTTCCTTTAAAGTCATCAGTTCTAATATAAACACCAGTATCTCTTAAATAATTCAATTCACCGATAAGCGGTTTAAAAATTATATTGTTTCCAAATTTAACTCTATCAGATGAATGAAACAATAATGCCAAAAAAATGGTGTTCAAAGAAAATTGACGATGAGGAGGTATACAAGGAATTGATGTATATACTGCTCCAAGGTTATGAATGCCCGAATGACTTCCTAATGCATTACTAACTTCGTAATCATCAAAAAATAAGAAAATAGGAAGTACGATTTGAGTACCATGATCTTTTTTTTTTTCCATACAGAGCATTGCACAAAATTTATAGAAATTGAACTATGATCTAATGTATCTAATAGCACATTTTTTATTTGAAAAAAGTTTTTTTTAATATTTGTTCTGTACACTGAAAGGGGACCATAGAGTGAGAATTATTATTATTATTTTGTGCATTTAACCGCTCACCAATAATATATTCACAATTAGCAATATATGTTCCGAGGTCTGTAAACTATTTGATTCTTTTATATTCTGTGCCAAGGTCAGTAAAAGGTTCCTCAAGTACTTCCAGAATATTGTTAAAATGATTAAATGACTCATTAGAAATATTTCCTTCCGAAAGTAATTTGATAGTACTATTTTTTAAAGTCAGATGTATACCATTAAATATGTTTTTCATATCTTTGACAACTGTTTGCACAACATTTCTTAGAACTTGGGGGTTTGCGTATAATGAAGCCAAGAAATGGTCTACACTATTTACAGCAACAACATTTTCAGTACCTGGTATAGATTCAGGCAACACTGAACTCATATTGCCAAAAGAAGTACTAATATTATGGTTATCACTTTGCTCTGGTAAACTATTCAAAATTTGAATTAATATGCTGAGGGTGTGTAGACATTTCTTTTACTGATGTTTGAGAGACCAAATGCTTCTTAAAAGAATTTAGTAAATGAAACGACCTCAGACAATTAACTTCTGCACAATCATAAGAAATAAAGTTATAATCAGTGTGTTAAATTGAAAATGCTTACATAATAATGAGATGGATGAAAAATGTAACTTGCATATAAAACAAATAGGCATATTTGAAAAATTGAATATTTATAGTTAAATAATAACAGTTTTACTTTTAAAATATTACTTTAGTGAGATATATATATAATAAGTTATAACCACTTTATAAATCTTCATTTATGTGTAAATCGCTTAAAAGAGAATTTACTGAAACATACTCTGTGTCAAATGCAGTTTTAATTTTGTAAAAGCACTTTTGAATGAATGTCCAAATAGGCAAACATTCAAAAGGATACTGAAGGTTTAAAGCGTGAATAATTTTAAAACAACAATCGACAGAATCAATTATCGAATTTAACACAAAATATGTTCCATCAACGAGAACAAAATATTGCGAAATTTAATTTATGTTAGGTCCAACAATAATTATAAGAGGCTGTAATGTAACCCCTAACTGAGTATATTTTTCTTTGCGTCTTGTAATATTTTCCTGTAGCTCTGAGTGAGATCGTAAATGAGTGGTGAAACCGTCTTTGGCTTCTATTTTTGAAGGCCTCCAGGTAGATTTGAGATTTCCCTTTTTTCCTTTGCGTTGTGACCCGAAAGAAGAGAAATGAAAGAATGAGAAATGCTGCCAAGGAAGACGTTTCTTCACTTTCTATAACATATGGAAAATAACATAAGATTTTATAGAGCTTTTAAGTATTAAAAAAGTAAAAATTATAATTACCTTCTGCTAGATCTACGTATTCATTTATAATGCACTTTAGAGTAGAATCCTTCAGAGTTTTTGATATGTTTTTCCTAAAATTCAGAATTTTTTCTTTAAATAAGGGAAAATATTCAAACAGACCATCTTTTTTTACAGGATAAATTGAGTTAATAAAATCTTCAATTAACTACAACAAAAAAACAAAAATTTAATTTTAACATCATAACATTTTTTTTTTATGCAGATTCATAATTACTATACTCTATTTACTATAAGAACCGGCCTAAGCAACCAACTACTGGTTAAGTAAAGATGCTATTTATTCGAACTTACAAGCTTAAAACCAGATGGCTTTTTTAAAGCGGGAAAGTTCTTCGTCAGAGAGTAGTTCATCCTTAAAATTTGTACCCAATATATATACTTAAATATACAAAAGTTACAAAAATTAAAATTAAATTTATAGTCTACATGGCACAGTAAATATTTTAGATTGGGGTAGATAGTGTAAAATTATTAATATTATGTATTGACACTTATCCCTGCTATTGTAAAGTGTCTCCTAAAGGTAGAACAAAAAACAAAATGGATTTGAAACAGAGATCTAGTTTCATTGATTCACACAAACTTTATTTTATTTTATTATAAACTGGTAAGAGTAAGAACCCATTAGAACACTATAGTAATGGTTTTATAGTAGGTATCTACCTAACAATTTATTAATACATAGTAGATACCTAATCATCATAAGGTGTGTTTTGGCGATGAAGTTTTGAGCAAACAAACTAATACCTAGTTAGCTAAACTAGTAACCGGGTTGCTCAAAACTGCATTGCCAAAACTCGTCTATCATTTAAATAAACAAAAGAAATTATTAAAATATGTATAACATCCTTACCATATTATTAAAAGATTGATCATTAACTTGGGTAATCACTTTACGCCATTCTTCTAAGTTAACTTTAAATTTTGCCCTATGGCCAACCATTGGTATTATTTCCTTCATCATTTTATCAGTGATAAGTGTCAAGCAAGATATATCTATTCCGTGTTCTATAATTGAGAAAACAAAAATGCATAAGCCAATAAGCAATGGGTGGCAATAAGTAATCAAATTCTTTAAAAAAAAAACTATTTAATATAGGTAGTAGGTACCTATTTAATCAATATGATACGTACCTACCTACCTACATATTTTAATTATTTAAAAAATAAAAAAACTTCTGAGTTCTTCAAACAAATTTAATTAATTTTAAAGGCTATAAGTACATCATTTTTATTATTTTACTTGAAAGTGCTTTCTAAATACTTAATATTTAGTTAATATGTTAATATTCAAATTTATAAGCACGTCCTTTGAACAAAATTAATTTTTTTTAACGACTTACCTTTAAATATGTTTATATATGTTTCTAAGCCCTAAGCCATCAGCATATCTGTGACATCTTGATCGGCCATTTTACACAAACACAATTAAACACTTAAAACAGTTCAGGACTTGAGACGCAGTTTTAAATAATATGACACTTCGAATCTCGTGGTAAAGAACAACTCAACAACGCGTCAACGCTAAACGCAGCTTTGAGCAATGCAGAGTGCAGACCATCATATTAATATAAAAGGCAATACGGTAATCATACAGAATTCTAAACGTGTTGTCTGCTTAACTTGTCGCACTGTCGCAGGAACAAAAACATTTGTACCATCAGCCTAACTGTGATGTAGTTTTTACCAAATAAACGGTTATTTTTATCGCACTACGGTATCAATTCATAAATGGTTAAGTAATTCTAATTATATGTTTTGTAGCTATAAATAGCTTAAGTTGTAAGTAATACTTTCTGTAGCTACAACAATACATATGCTATTCTTATTAATCATTTGGTTATATGATTAAAACATCAATTAACAAAAAAAATGTTGTAGCTATTACAATGTACTTCAATAATGGCTATAGTATTTATGGTTGTGACTAATATATTTGTGTTACTTTAGCTATAAATCATATTACAAAACTATTTTGTTAATAGTATTAAATTATTTTTTTCCGTGTACCTCCAATCAATTCTCCTGCTTCTTCAACTCAAAATAAAAGTGTGCGTAGAGAAAGACAAAAAGAGAACACGGTGTCTAACATTGACAAAGTTCTTGAGCATTTAAATAAAAAACAATAAGTCACCACCAGTGCACTTGATGCTATTGAA